GAATAATTGCGGCAGAAAGCGGCTGTGAAGCATGCACGACAGTCATGTGATTCCTGGAGTCCGCGCTTGAAAGTTGTATCGTCGGCAACTTGAGTCAGGGCACTGGAATCTCTCTCTTTGATTCTGCTCCCTTGTTCCGCGGCTTCAGTTTCTTTCTTTGTCTTGTCTTTTCGAGTTATCCCTTTATAGGAAAAAAAAAAACACGTTTTTTAACTACGCAAGCAAAAAAGTCCTTATCTCCAAATGTGGTATGAGTATTCAAGCTCGGAGCAAGCACGTTTGGTTGTTGTCGTTGTTGTTGTTGTGAGAGAGTTACTGGGGTTTCCCGCGAGGGGGTTTTGGGCACTCTGCGTGCGCCCACGCTGGACTCCCGGAGCCTCCGTGCATCGTGCCACACGCGGCAGAGGTGGCGCTACCCTGTTTGCGAAAACGCTTTGATCGCTGGTATTTTACAGTTGGCCTGCGCGTCTGTTTGTGTGCGTGCGTGTTCACCCGCACCCCCCCCCTCTTCTTTCCCCCCCCCCCCCCACCGTCGGCCGGTTCTCATGCGGCTTTGCGAGCTGTTTGCACAGAACTCACAGCGGCGGCGGCGGTGATGGTGGTGGCGGCGCGGGCGGGTGATAACCCACGTGACGCCACTCGCAAACACGACCCCTCGCACGCAGGGCCCGTGGAGGCACGTGGGGGGGGGCCCACGGGGGAGGGGGCGCACGGGAAGGCCCGTGGGGGCCCGCGCCTGCACCCTTGCTCGTCACGGCCGAATGTAACAACAAAAACAACATATTCTTTGGGTCTTTCGTTAAAGTCGCGTAGATCGTCACGTGGCTAGATTAACCCATCTGCGCGACTTTACCGAAAGACCCAAAGAATATTAATTCCTGCAGTCATGAAAGCTTTAAGTCAAGAACAACAACAACTTTATCGCAACTGCCACGTGTGTTCTAGGACTCGGTTGGGTGCATTAACAGCAGCAGCAGCTTCTCTCGAGGAGAGAGAGTGAACCTTACCTTGCTGTGAAGTGGCCTGAGCAGGAGTGGTCAAGTGAATTGACTTTATCCCAGGTTTCCCTTGCAAAGTAGAATTAGTAGTCTAGGGGCTCATGTTAGCACCACCCGTGGCGCCAGCGCGTAACGGTACCGATGTAGTATCACAGGGAAGTAATTCCTGTGCTCTGACCCAAGTTGCTGACAATATCTGCAGTGCCTGGCAGCCTCTGGACCACAACCATCGCCGACACGCAGACGACGAATAAACAAGTGATATTGGCTCCACCGCAGCTAGGACAAGCGATGGCACGGGGGCGCCGCCGACCAGCGGCACGGACGCACTCGCCGTGAGATGCCCCCTCGGCTCTCGTCGTTGCTGCCGGTGCTGCGTACGTTTGGGCACGGATGCGCGTGCCCAATGGGCGCGTGACGTCGAGTCGACGTTTAGAAATCTATTCCGCCGCTCGCAAATACGGGCGTCGATTTGCGCGCCCGAGGATCGATCGGTTGACGGCGATTGCGCATCTCACGCAGCTGTCACATTTTAGGGTAGCACGGCAAACAACGCGGACGGAGCGAGACAACAAACGAGAGGAGAGTACAACGAAGCGGTACAATAATAGAGACGAACAACAATCAATCGTGGAGTTGAATCGCGACCTCCGAATCGTGGACATTGATCAAATCGCCGTGGGGGGGGGGGAGGGGGGTGGGTGGCTCATTACACATCGAGCAAGTCGCTACCCGTCGAGTTGCTGTATTGCCGGCGACTGTGGGGGTGGTGGGGGGGTGGTACCGGGGGTGGTACCGGGGGTGGTGCCGGGGGTGGTGCCGGGGTGGGAGACTCCCCGAGGTTGAGAGCCCCCGGAGGGGGAGGGTGGACGGCGTCCCGGAGAGGGGGGCGGTCTCGTCGCGGAGATGTGCAGCGGATGCGTCCGCTTGTCTAGATAGTCTGTTTGTCTATATATCGAGTACTTTGTAGAATCTACATAGATATGTGGATTCAAAATAGCCAAGTGGACTATATATAGACCATTATATTATATGTTTATAATTTAACAATAACATTGGTCTTCAATAATGGTCACACACGTGGTTGAGCTGACATTTGCCGGGTAGTGGTCATCTTTGTTGGCAGACCTGAACTAGCCGTTTGAACTCCACATTGCTATGGCTAGGGGCTAGTATACCCATACATCTCCATCATTTATTTACTTAATATTTTTTCACTTTTGTAAAATATCTCTCTCAAAAGTTACGTAACACCCCTGAGAAATTAATTATTTAAATTGCATTGAGATTGAGATACAGGAGGAGGAGCATGTGGATAAGAGATAACGCAGGTTAATGACATAATCTCAGCTACTGGAATGATGGCTGTTGGTCAAGATTACTTACGGAGTGGAGTGGCAGCCATGAAATGGAACGTCCACCGTGGAGATGGAGCTTGAAATCAGCTTGTATACAGTTGCTAGGTAAATTACTACATTGCAGGATTGTAACATATGGCAGCAGCTTTGGTGGAGGCCTTCTTCCAGCAGTGGATTTACCTGTCGCATTGCTGTGGTATGCGATTTGTGCTGAAATGCGTCCTTACTCGTGCCATAGCCTGGCCCTGCAAGCTTCGGGGAATTTCCAAATCCAGAACAATGACTTGTAGAATACATCTGGAAGAATTAAAAATTCTTAACCAATATCGGCGTAAACCATCGATGCGAATTCGTAATTTTGTAACCGATGAAAAACATCTCGAGATTCGGAGAGGGTCAATCGCTTTGGCGGCGCGATTCGCGTGGGCACACTGTCACCACGGGCACCAACGCCGCACAAGGTGCACGAGGCAATGGTCCGTCGCATCGCCCGTCCCGTACGACGCGAGCGCCGGAGGCTTGGACCCCCGAGCGAGGGCCCCGGATTCCGGCACACGTCGCACCGAGCCGGCCGGAGCGGCCCTGGGAGCGGCGGTGGCGTTGGTTGGCGTCTCCGGCATGAAAACAGTTTAGCTTGGCTTGGGGCTGCATCCTTTGAAGCGGCCTCCTCTCGAGAGGGGCTCAGCTAAAGCCGCCCCGGCTTTCCATTTGTGCCCGTCAAGGCGGCCCGCACAAAGGCCGAGGGGGGGATTTAGAGCCGCCCGTGTTTTAACAAAAGCGACTTCCCCTTTTCTGCGTGCGGCGGTTAAAAAGTTAAAAACACTCCGCCAATTCTTGCCGGCCCTTTCTCGCTTTGATTTTTTTTTCTCTCCACCTTGAGAGAGGGGGGGGGGGGGGTGGGGGGAGGAGGCGGCGGCAGTTATTTTTTACTCTTTGAGTTCTGCCTTTTTATTAAATTTTCCTTTCTAGGCAAGATGGGACGATTTCCATCATCTCACCATATATACTTTATTTGTATTCTTCATAGTGATTTGCTTACCTTTCTTATACTTTGTTTTTGTTGTCGCTTTTTGACATGCCCCTACTGTGGACATCTGTGAAAAAGAGCTTCATAGCTCATCGGGTTTCTCCAGGGTAAACAAAGATTCTGATTGTGACCACCACTCTTGTGTCGATGGCTTCCGTGGCCGGCTCCCCGGATGTCGCTGTTTAATTTGAGCTCAACTCGGTGGCGGCGACGATAGACGCCGCTTGTCAGGAGCCGTGTTTTGATAGCTCTGTGCTGTCCTAACTGGTTTGACGAGGGACTGTTCGACTGACAAGGAGCTGTTCTCCTCCGCCGTGTTTGTGCGAAGGGATTTGGAATAGCAACCGCTTTGAAGAATTCTAAATGTAGCCCGTTTCTCGTACACATACATATGTTTGACTCGTTTGGTTTTTTTTTCCTCTCGGTTGGCTGGATCTGCGGATTACAGTGTGAGCGAAAACGTGGGGGTGGAGGGGCACGTCGTTCGCCATGGGGGCGCACGAGCCCAACGCTGTCCTCTCCGCGCGGTGCCGTGAACCGGTGTGCCGCGCGAAGACGAGACCGTGCCTCCTCCGCCTCCCGTGCTCTCTCTTGCGCAATCTCACCCACCGCAACTCCCAACCCCCACCGTCGGGTCGACCGCTCGCGCTCGCTGGCGAGTCGCGAAAGTGGCGCCGTGGCGGCCGTCGTGCCAATTTTGCCAGGGAAAAAAAAAAAACGTGCGGCAATTGCAAACGCGCGCCGATGGGTAACGACCGCACGCACACACGCAGTTACTCACTTGCGGGGTGTGCTCGCAGGTGCGCTCGCGCGCGTTGGTTACTTCCACGTGAACCGCGTGTGTAACCGCGTTCGCGTTACGCCCGTGTCACAATCGGTAGCAACAGGGGTGTTCCCGGGAGACCGGGTGTTTTTTTTTTTTGGTTTCTGCAGTCTACGTCTGATGCAAGTAAATAAATAAGAGCGCAGTCCTTGCAATCGCTAAGCCTCTCTCTTTCGGGCGTCGAAAAGCGTGACGAACTGATGGCAGAGGAGTCACCCGACGTCCGGTTTGCGGAACCAGAATGGGTCGCTTGGCCGTTAACGAAATGCCGAGTGCCCGAGCGTACCGTCGCAGCGCCGAGCTACGAGCGTGCCGGCGTTTGTCGTCGACGCGCGGCTTAGTTGGACGACGGGGCTCGTCGAGTCGCGGTTTGGAGATGATGATGATGATGTGTCTTTTTCGTATCGAGGCACAGGTTTGGTAGTTGCATGCGGTTACGTCTTCATTTATGTTTGGGACCGTGCGTGTGTCTTGCGTTGTCGTGCAGTTTTGTACCCTCCCGTGTTTGGGTCGTGTTCCTTGTGGTGATGTGTGTTGCGTCGTCGAGCTGGCTATTGTGTCGCTGTGATGATTTACGTGACGGATGTACACGTTGGGTCATTATGCCGGCTCGTACAGTGTGTGTTTGCGGCGTTCTATAATTACGTGCGTTTCTTCGGTAAACTGGTTTACGCTCTGACGTGCATCTCGTGCCATCGCGCCGGTCCGTACGGTCGCGGCGCCGTTGTGCCGTTGATCTGGCGTACGCGACGGCGCGCGATGTGTGACCATTGTGACGCCACCGTGCCGTGCAGGTCGCAGCAAGGAGGAGGAGGAGATGCTCATGCAGGAGTGGTTCACGCTCGTAAACAAGAAGAATGCGCTCATCCGCCGTCAGAACCAGCTCAGCATCCTGTGAGTCGCGAGCGGCGCGCCTGCGTGTTTGCGTGCATGTAGGCACACGCGCGCGCACACACCTCCGCACCCGGTGCTCGAAGGAGACATGGGCGACCGGATGCATTCGAGAAGAGGACGAGGAGGCGGCGGAGGAGGCAGAGGCGGAAGGGAGGAGGGAGCAATTTGGCCTGTACTTGATTTCAATAACATTAATGCCGTGAATATACTGGTCCCATCGTCGGAATGTGGAATTTTCACCTCTGGCTCCGGGCCAGCGATGAGTGCTACTCCACGCACATTTGAGCAGAGAGACATTTTGACCTGGCTGTTTCACAGCCTTAAAAAAACGTCGGTGTCTTTTCCTAGGTGCTGCTGTATTTTTTCACGTACATTTATGTTTTTAATGCTCTCACTGTTGTTAATTAGTGCCACTCATCGGCAGGTCGGGTGGATAGTTTGTTTTTATTTCCCCTCCTCCTCCGGAGCTCGCACTGAGAGCCGTCGGCTCGGCCTGAACAGGCACGGTATCCTCACGGCGCAGTCTCTTCTCCAGCACGACTTCGCCGTTCCTGTTCAACCCTACTCCCCCATTGTATCACTTCTTCCCTTTTGCATTAGCCGCTGTTTAATTTCTGACGTCGGTATTTTCGACATTACATGATTATACGTCACGTTTTTATTCGGGCGGTGACTGGAGCACTCGCCGCTTGTTGCAGAGGTTCGCGGTTCGAATTTGGCGGCCGCCCTGATGAATACTGCCGTGTGTATTAGCCTAAAAGTACGACCTGCTGGTCCTCTCGGAAAAAATTCAACCGTGTGCTGCCAAGGCCACATTCATCCGTTTATAGCCAATTCACTTGAGATGGGAGGCTTCCTCCTCTGTGACCTGGGGGTAAAACTCGGATCGGCGCATCGAGGGCTCGGTGCAGGACAAAGCGCCGCTGCCTCCTCCCCTCCGGCCCCGATTACAGTCGAGAGCGTGGAGGAGCGAGCCCTTCACGTGCCGCGCATTCCTTGCCAGCGATGCCCTGCGCTACGGCCTGAGGCAGGGTGACGGCACGGCGGCACCGCTTGTGCCTCGCAGTAAAAGCTCTTCCCGAGCTTCGATTCCTGACTTGCACAGATTAAAAAATCCCACAAAACCGATCTAGTTTCATTGCAGGTCTAAGTTTCACCGCTAATAGTTGCCACGCATACATAATTTATTATGAACATATATTCCAGATGGGTCTCGTCGGCACTTTTGTGACTCGTTAAGTAGCTCGCATGATATGTTTTCTGTTCAAAGCACCGATCTTCCTGCTCAAGCGAGTGACGGGGCAATTCGTCGAGGAGTGGTTCCGGTTTTGCTGATGGCAAGGGGGACGATTGGCTGAGACGGCCCTCTCGCCAATGTTTTGGTCTTGTTACCATCCGGTCGTGAGTCATGAGTCGGCCAGGATTGTTCACACTCGCGATGATCCCAGTGGGGGCACCCGGTCCAGGGTCCCGTGCCATTTGCCAAGCTAGAATTTGTATCCAAACGTGGCCTGGCCATCTCACAGGTCTCACTCCTATTGGAATGATGAGCGATGCAACAGTACAAACGCTCGGGAGGTGAAGGCAGCTGGGTGAGTGGTGCTGCCCCTCCTGAACATATGTTGAAAAGAGCTTCATAGCTCATCGGATTTATCCAGTGTAAAAATAAGATTCTGATTCTGACCGGTTCACGTGCCGCGCTGGTCTCAATAGGCACTCGCTGACGCTCGTTGCTTCCGTCGATTCTGGCGCGGGCGTCATCTTTGTTGTTACCGCCACTCACAGGGAGAAGGAGCACGACCTGGAGCGACGCTACGAGCTGCTCAACCGCGAGCTGCGTGCCATGATGGCCATCGAAGGTACGCGCGCTGTCGCAACACTGACACAACACTTTGTGTACGCAAGGCGTGCAGACGCAACGCATCGACGCGCAGACGCAACGCATCGACGCGCAGACACCTGATGCTTGACGTAGCCATGCAGATGCACGGCACAGGTATACAACAGATGTGACCAGAACACGCACGGCCAATGCATGACATGACACATACCACAGTACATTTTGTTACCTGACTTGTCACTTGACACACAGACACATGACTCTAGGGTTTGGTGTTACATGTTGTTTATGTCGTTTATTATGAAAATTCGGTCACAGTTCCTATGATCACAGTTACATTGCTTTTATGGCTTTATTTTGGTGATGTCGAAAAGTTTTTTTGGTTTGGCCATGTTTGTTTGTTGTAGTACGGAGTTAGACTGATGGCCTTAATCTTAGTTGTCTTGTGGTTGTTGTTGTTGTTTGACTTGCATCCCACTGGGATTTTTGCACACAGCGTTGGTGTATGGTGCTTTTTCAGGAATATTTTGCTGTTTTTTCCTGGATTTTCTGTTTGTGGCGGTTGCACCCGATTCAAGAGCCGAATGGCTCACGGGGCTATATCAAATAAATGAAACTGGAAAAAAACTAACGCACGCACGCTGCATCGAGCACCTCTGGAGCAGCGACTTAGTGGCGTGCGTACGACCCTCCTCGTCTGCCACACGGCCTCTCGCCTAGTTAGGCACGTTTTATCGATACGCGTTGGCACAGGGGCTCGCGGAGGCGTATGGCTCTGCATCACGACAGACCTTCATTACAGAGAATTAGGGGCAAACGAAGTGGAGGGGGGGGGTTGCGATGGGATCGTCGCGTTCCATTTTAATTAGACATTGAAACAGTTGGGACTCGGCAGAGCGGATAAACATCTATTATCGAGCGGCGAGTGCTGTTATCTCCCGTCCCGCGAGGAAAGGGGCATTTGCTAGAAGTAATTGAATGGGCGGAGACGATGGAGGGGGGGTGTGATTGACAGCTCCCAGCCAGGGGAAGGGGGGAGTAGGCGGTGTTGCGGGGGAGGGGTGGAGGTTTCCTCGTGGAGCCGAGGGTGGGGGGCGGGTGGCTCTCGGAGCTGAGATGTATCCACGTTCGGGGAACAACCGATTTTTAACGTGGCGGTGTTTTTTGCGCAATCACGGTGGCCGGGGCTGAGATCAACAACTCTCGCTACGCCTGAGAGGCTGCTTTAATCGGAGGTGGCTGGCGCCTGGATTTGAACCCAGGGCCTCGGCGCTTGGCAGCTAGGTGCACGGAGCTGTGAGCAACATTTGGGGGGGTGGGGGGGGGGTGTTTTCATTCTGGAGTATATGGGATGTAATCTCAGCTGGAGAGAGAGAAGCTATACACAAGGTACTGTATCCATGCCGCTGATACCGTACAGCCCGTTTGTCCGTCCACTGCTGGATGAGGGCCCACCGCGCGCCACGCGGGCCGTGCGGGGTTATTTTACCACACGTCGCCACGCTGGTCGGTGCGGGTTGGCGAAGGCGACGATGCGTAGCAGCGGGAGCATAGACGTACAGTCCAACTGTGTATTTTTGCTCGAGTACCTTCTGCTGCTCACCACGTAGCGCTTTGGTGGGTGACCGGCATGTACAGCGGGTCTTGGTAGGTCGCGTGTTGCACCACTTGCGCCCGTTAAACCGCGTGCGTACTCAACGTCCCCGCGCCACCCGTTGCCCTGCGGCGGTTTGTTGTTTTTTTTGTCCGAAGCGATCCCCATCGCGCACAGCCCATCTTGCCCCCGATCTAATACGCGGAGGGGGAGCGGCTGTGCACTGCCTTCCCCCTGCCCCCACCACCGTGCCATTACTCGTTGGTGGGTTTCGGGTTAGTGGCGAAGTGCCCGTGTGCCCGGCACGCACGTAGCGTGCGTTTGTGCTCCGAGCACTCGACTCGCTCCTCGAAAGATTGCGAGTTCGAGCCCCGGTTGTGGGTTAATTCGGCTGATCCATCCATGCAAGGTCGATTAAAATAGGTCCCTACCACTTGGTTGGAACTCGACAGCGATCTTCATATGGATAGACTGGGCCCCGTCATGGGAATATGGAATTCTCGCAACTGGTTGGCTGAGAATCACTATCAGAGGTTAAATTCTGACCCTCTGCTTGTTTGAATGGGGGGAGACACCTTCAGCTTTGCTATGTACTCGTGTGTGTGCGTGCGTGCGTGCGTGCGTGTCCGCGCATCACAGACTGGCAGAAGACGGAGGCTCAGAAGCGCCGGGAGCAGCTGCTGCTGGACGAGCTGGTGACGCTGGTGAACAAGCGCGATGCGCTCGTGCAGGACCTGGACGCTCAGGAAAAGCAGTAAGAGCAAAGATAGAGATTTCACCCCCCCCACCGTAGCCTGCATAGACTGTCGGGGCAAGTGCTGTTAGCGAGGACCCAGTAAGGATGAATCGGCATGCAAAGCACCACACCCAGCCACTTTTGTCTCCCCAGTGCCGATTGTTACGCATTGCACGAGGTGATTATGTCATACAGCCGAGTCATACCTACGGGAGGCGATGAACTATATCTGATGTCACTGACCGCTGATATTATCTGTGGCCAGGACTCAAATTCAAGTAGCCAGGTGAATAGAATGAGAATCTTTATTTATCTTGGAGAAATTCGATGAGTTACAAAGCTCATTTTCACACATCCAGTAGAATAGGGCAGTGCACTTGCCGCTTGTGCCACCACTCCCCGAGCACACACATACACGTACACACACACACACACTCGTACACGGCACTTTTGTAAAGGGGTGGTGTTGTCAATGGCCATCGATGTTTTGTCTCGTAGTAAGGAGTATAACCCAGGCGTCAAGAACCCGAGTACATTGTTCCCGCTAAACACTGCGGCACAGGCCTGTCTTGAGAGTGTGTTGCAAGTTATACACGGAGCTACTCACATGACCAATCGTTGAATTAGATTCTAACTATCGTGTTAGTGTAAATGAGTTAATTATAATGCGTGTGTGTGACTTGGTGGTGGGGCTGCCAGTCATCTCAGTCAGTCAACCCATGGCACCTGGGTCTGTCCCGTGACCTCCCGCCAGCGGGCGTTTGACACTTCACGTGGCCTTAAAGTGCACATAGCCTGGCACAAGCGCCGTGGTGACGACACCGCCACTTAGTGGTGAATGGCGGTTGTTGTTGGTGAAGCCGTAGTTACCGCGCACCACGCTGTGATCCCAGCTGCCCGAGTTTTATTGCTCGCCACAGCGACTGCAATTGGTAATTGAACCGGTCCAGTGCCCCTTCACCACACCACCAGCCAGCATTGACCACAACCCCACAACTGGCACGGTATGGGGAGGCCTTCATCCAGCAGTGCATTGACAGAGACTGTAAGATATCACACATTAGTTTATATGTCATGCGTATTGGTTTGTGGAAACCTGGCAGCCGCTCTAGATGTTAAACGCGCCACGACGCACTCCGAAGCGGTGCGGGTTCATACAGCGTCTGGACTTGATCGAATCTCGACGGCGTAGAAAGATGAGTCGTCGTGATACGATTCAGGACAAGTGGTACAGTCGTGTAGGACGCGCCAATAGTTACGGGGTCCGCAGGGATGCAGGGCGAGCGTGGGAATTTATCTCGCACGGGACCGGCGTCGTCCGAGCTCGCGCACGTTTGCGGTCCGCCTGCATCTTGATGTACACGAGCGGCTACCTGTGGCTCGCGTTGCGGATTACAATCTCTTATCGCGCACGCCCCGTACGGCTCAAAGGCCTCGTTTGTGATGTTTACGTTTGAGAGGCGTGGATTTTGTGTCGTTCTGTGCAAGCGGCCGTCAAACCACAGCCTCCCTCCCTCCCCTGTGCGCCAGCGGCGTCGCTCGTCCTGCCGATTGGTCAGCCCTATTTTTCCGCATCTACCAATCAACCGCTGCTCGCATTATGCTTTGTGTCAATTGGAATCCCCCCCCCCTCAATAGCCGTGACTCGCTGGGGTGCAGGAACTGACATTTAGGAACCACCTTTCGCATTCCAAAAAAAATGGAAGCAAAAGCGCGTCGGTTGCAGTGTGTCCCACCCGCGGGGGTCACCTGACGCGTCTCCCTACCCGCTGCGTCAGGGCTGAGGAGGAGGACGAGCACGTGGAGAGGACGCTGGAGCAGAACGTGGGCAAGATCGTGAAGAAGGACGACAAGTGCAGCATCCAGTAGCGCCCGGAAGAGACGCGTCGCGCAGCTCCCTCTCCCGGTGGTCGCTTCCTCGCCTCTGGGCCGTCGAGCCGCCCTCCGCATCTCCTGCTCTTCCCGGGATGCGGCGGAGCGCGAGAAGCGACGCCGCGGAGCTTGGCGGCGCCCGTGACGATGTGGGTGACTCTGGGCCAGGAGTGAGCGGGGGGGGGGGGGGGTGTCTCCGCTTCCGGCTGCGGGACACGGGGGGGACTGCTTCCGGATCACGACGAAGGCCGCGCCGCCGCCGTGCTCTTGGGCCGTGCGTCCGAGACCCCCGTGTCGGGTCGGGCTTAGCCCCGGGGTCTTGGCGGCCAGCGATCCACTTTGGGCCGTTAATGGAGCAGTGCGGTGGCTCTAACCTCCGCGCCCGCCTATGGCGGCTGAGGGGGAGTAAGAAAGAGGTGAACCCCCAGTCTCCGTTTGACTTTCGCTGCGCATGCGAGGTGGTGCCGTGTGCTTTCGCTCTTTGGACTCTAGAGCGCTTGCGTGTCATTTCCGTAATCCTAGCCCCCCATCCCCCCCGGGTGTTTCCCCACCAGCTCCTTGCTGTTGATTTTTAAATTGCGCTCATTTTTGTTCTTGTTCCTCCCCACACCTGCGCGGGGAATTTTTTCTGAGCGTCTATGTTTGGGGGGAGTTTTCTGAGCGTCTACGTTTGGTGACGACGTTTTACCGTGAGAGCGTCGCGCGCACGAGGCGGCGGCGTGCCGGCCCCGCGGCGGCCTCGCGTTGTCGCCGTTGTTGCAGAGAAGCGACGTCCGTCGGTGACACCGCTCGCCGAGCCGGCAGGTGGAGTGATGGTCGGACGGACGGACACACAGACACACACGGAGCCATGCGAAGCCTTTAGGGAGAGCCCCGTTGTCACCGTAATGGAGCTGTAATGAAACTTGGCTACCCCCGTGCAGTTTTGCTGCAAAAGAAAATAGGATTCACTTTTGGTTTTCCTAATGGGGAACCCTCACAATGCGCGAGCGAGGTGCCGAATAAAGGCCGGGCTTGTTAGGGCGAGAGGCAGGCTTGCTCAGGCTAGGGAGTAAGGCAAGATGTTAGAAATACCACAAGGGCTAGGCTCATTATGACACGGGCTAGACTTGCTGGGCCTTGATTAACAGAGTAGGCTTTGTAAGGGTTAGGTCTAGATTGGCAGGTGATATGGTAAGAACTGGGGTTAGGGAAGAGGCCTAGACCGGGTGTTTGGGGAAGGATTAGATTTGCATTACGGATAGGCCTGTGTGTGGATTAGGGGTTAGAGCTAAGGCTTGGTGAGGTTAGGCTAAACGCTGGACTCGTTGGGTTTTTGGGGCTGTGTTTTGTGAACGTAGACTATCCTTTCCGTAAGTCGTGAACGCTGCGCTAAAGTGCGACGGATTTTGCGGGGTCTCCGTCTCTGGTTTCACATCTCAGTGTCGTCGCCTCTTCTCCCAAACGTCACCGCTCTGCGAGCCTCACGGACAAACGGCAGGCGTGAACTTTCAAAATTGTGCGGCAGCCGGCGTCAGTGGAACATTTGCCGATTCGTCGGCCCGCGTGGAGAGAGAAGGCGGCGGCGTTCTGAATCGAGGCACAAGAGGCGGCACCGATATGATGGTGTCGGGGACTATAGCCGAACCACAAATACAATAAATAAACAAGAGCGAGCAAACGAATCTAAATTAAAGAGCAGCCGTGAATGGTGCGAGTGTTTTAACTTTTGGGTGGGCGCTGTTTGCGCGGGTGTTGGGACGGACAGTCGGCGTGTATGTGCGTGTGTCGAGGGTGACACGCGGGCGACATGGATTCTTGAGCGAGAGCTCTGAAGCGCGAAATACCGCTGCTGTAAAAAATAGTGCCGCACCCTATCAGTAGCTCTAATCCTATCCCAGTTCCCCCCCCCCCGCCAGCCCCGGTCCTACGCAGCTTACAGACGTGCCCATTGCCACCCGGAGCCAGCCCCCAAACAAACCAACTCTGATTGGTCGCAGCATTTTTGTTGTTACCTGCATCTCCGCGGTCAGAACTGGCAACTCGCGTACGCAACAGCTCAAGGGCAGCACAGATAACGGGGAATTTCCGCAATGGAACGGTGCCATTTCTGCCAGGAGATGGGCCCGGTTGCGCGACTTGCCGAGACACTGTGTAAAGGCTTCACGCGCAATCCATTTCGAGCGACATTTGGCAATCGGGCGAAATGGCACTCGGCACTCTGCCACCACAAACGCTTCTGTCGAGTCATCGCGACGCGATGGGTGGCAATCAGGTTGAGGTAATTCTCAACCTGATTTTCGCCGATCAGAGCCACCATATGTGCCATGCAAGATTATGGCTAACTTCACCATGAACAGCCCACGGATTTGGAGGCAGTTTCATAAAACACCTGGATGTGATATCGTTCCTTTGTTTCCCAACTAAATCGGTGTGAACTTGCGCTAAATTGAACTCCAGATGTTTTGTTGCACCAACCACTGACCCCTCCTGACCCCCGCCCTCGCATCTTCGCCTCGCGACCGCCCAGTAGACAGCTATAGAGTTGTTGTTCAACGTTGAATCGATGGTAGAACGCGGCCGGGAGACGTGCGACCAGCGCCTGCCCACCCAGCGTAGCTACGGACTGGGGAAACGTTCAGGCGGTCCTCGCAAACAGAGCTACGGCGATCATCGCCGGAGCTCTGTTTGCCGAAAATCGAGTTTGAAACGTTGGATAGCCAGGTGACCTTTACGTGCGATCCGATTGGACGTTGCCAATCCCATCTGCCACAAGAGGGAGCAGCGAAAATAATTAAGGATCTGGGCAACCAAAAAGGCTTAACGATCGGAAATATCGCGGCAACATTTTCCAGCGAAGACGTGGCGACCGCCCCGAAGTTTCCGTGGAGCGTCGCGGCCGCCATGCTGGTACTCGGCTGGCGGAGTTGAGTGGCGTGCGTTGTGCTGGCCGGAGTGGCCCGGAACGCCGATGGGTAAACGCGAGCGAGGCTGCCACAGTGCAATACTGTATTAATATGAATTTTAATTAGTAGTAAGTGATAGTAATGGCAATGAACGTGGCGTATTAAACGCGCGGCCGAATCGATTGGAGGGGGGGGTGAGTAAGATTTGTGCGTGTGTTGTATCCGCCAGCACTGTTCGTGTTTTTATATAAAAAAAAAGAAGACCGTTTGAAAGGTGTCGCGTTTTTAATTTGTGCGTCGGTGTTTTCAAATTGTGCCGCGCACCGTTTGCCGCTATACACGTGGAAGCTTTGCGTTCTGTGCGGGTGCGTGGTGAGAACAGGCGAAAGGGGGGAACAAGGCCACATTGTGAGATGATGTTTGGCCTTCTGTGCACCGGCCAGCCTGCGGGCCAAGTCGGGGTCCTCACGTCGGCTCTCCTTGCCAGTTTGCCATCTTCTATGACCACCTGTCAACCTGCCAGCATCCACCCATCTTGCCATTCATACCCATTGATTAATAATACAAAATATGATGTACGTATACGTAAACTTCTTTCACACAGTACATAGCCAACAGCGCTCATCGGAGGTGCGATGCGTGGGACGATGAGTCCATTAAATCGACTCGTTTTATCGTGGTCGGTTCCTTGGGAGTCCCTCGGTCCCCACCCTCCTACCCCACACGCAGCGGGGGCACGGACGCGTGGGTGCCGGAGACGTCACAGGCCCCACCCGTCACGTGTGCAGTCGGGCACGCGGCAACGCCTGCATCTGCAACTCGTTTTCGCGGCACTTAATCAGATTAGTGGAGTAATATCGTTGACGATAATCGGTAAGGTAATTCAACACTTAAATAATCGGATAGCCCAGCTCGAAATAAGCCCACTAATCGTTATGCAAAGAAGCCTCTGCTTCTCAACAGGTTTCCAGGAGTGTCCTCCGTTGCTATGTTTGGCCAACGTTCTTCATAACCAATCGCTTGGCTTCTCTCCTCCTGAGACGCACCATATACTCGACGGAGAGGCGGGGGGGGCAGGTGCGAGCATGTGCTGTATCTCTTCACGAGGTTACCACTGCACGCAACGTGGTGAGAACCGTGGTAGCGAGTCGTGAGCTCGTTACGGCAAACCGGCAGGGGACGTCGGGGCACGTGTCTAGGACGGGTGCCACCTTGCTCGGTTTGACTCGGCAGCTTGTGTTGACAAGGAACTCGGTTTTAGTTTTTTTACCAGACGCGTTTTATTGAAAGAAAGAAACACGGGGCAAGGTAGAGCGTGAACGGTGAGACGGGAACGCGAGGGCTCAAGCGGAATGGAAGCGACCTTAACAGGCGAGTTGGGGTCGAGGGGTGCTGTGGGGGGGTGAGGGGGTGTGTGGGGGGGGGGTGAGGGGGTGTGTGGGGGGGTCAGGGGGTGTATGGGGCTTCACGCGAGGACACAGGCGAGTTTAAAAGTGCGAGTCTGGCATCGAGCGTGTGTTTCACGAGCACGCTGGCCGAGTCTACGCCGCTGTATGTTGCAGCATGGAGATGGTCATGGCTCACCGCCAGAGTTTGCTGTTCTGCTTTACCCCCCCGACTCGTCATCACCCCTCATCCGGGCCCCTCCTCGCCTCCACCGCAACCTCCACCAACACGCGCCCTGCCCCGTTCGCCCTGGCAGAGCCGCAGTCCGCTGCCCGCGAGCGACTTGCTCACAATCTCTGATCTCTGGCGTTTTCTATCGTGAGAGAACAACGGACTCGGGCTTTCAATGCAAAGCGAAAATATTTCCTCCTCCCCCCATTCTCTGCAACCCCCCCCCCCCGAACGCGTTTATTTACGCACGTCAAGGACGCGTCAATATTTGTCCTGGCTTTATGCGCGTTCCGTGGCCATTGCGTGCTGATGATTTTGTAATTGCTCCGAGGCGTTTGAGAACGCCGCTGCTGCGTCTGGAGTGTGCCTCTAAGAGGAGGGGGGGGGTGGGGGGCTGTCATCCTCGCCCCCCCCCCTCCTCTCAACTCCCCACGAGTAGTGGGCCAGTCGTGGAGAGAGTTCACAAGGTCCCATTACCTGTGTGGTCATGACCAGCTCATTTACTGTAGCTCTCACTTCATCGTATCAGTCGTGCAACATCATCCTTGTCATCGGCTATACAGCTGTGTGCAAGTTGCCTGTCACTTCCACGTCAAGCTGCTCTGGGTCTTCTCAACCACAGCGACGCCCTTGCCATCGCTGTGCCTGCGAAACGTGAACCTCTCCTTACGTTGCGCGCCTGCGTAGGCCTCGGCATGGTAAGGTAATTTACCATGTTTAACGGGTAAAGGTGTCGACATGCGAAGGGGTAAAGTAAAGATTAGGGTAACGGTAGCGCGAAGTATTACCCGGTAAACACCGTAAACACCCTGTTTACCGTAAACACCCTGTTTACACCCTGTTTACCGTAAACACCCTGTTTACACTAAACACCCTGTTTACACTAAACACGCTGTTTACCGTAAACACCCTGTTCACCGTAAACACCCTGTTTACACTAAACACCCTGTTTACCGTAAACACCCTGTTTACACTAAACACCCTGTTTACACCCTGTTTACCGTAAACACCATGTTTACACTAAACACCCTATCAATTTATTATTTTATTCTCATTCTACGTGACTTTACCGAAAGAACCAAAGAAGACTAAACACCCTGTTTACCGTAAACACCCTGTTTACCGTAAACACCCTGTTTACCGTAAACACCCTGTTTACCGTAAACACCCTGTTTACCGTAAACACCCTGTTTACCGTAAACACCCTGTTTACCGTAAACACCCTGTTTACCGTAAACACCCTGTTTACCGTAAACACCCTGTTTACCGTAAACACCCTGTTTACCGTAAACACCCTGTTTACACCCTGTTTACCGTAAACACCCTGTTTACACCCTGTTTACCGTAAACACCCTGTTTACACCCTGTTTACCGTAAACACCCTGTTTACACCCTGTTTACCGTAAACACCCTGTTTACACCCTGTTTACCGTAAACACCCTGTTTACACCCTGTTTACCGTAAACACCCTGTTTACACCCTGTTTACCGTAAACACCCTGTTTACACCCTGTTTACCGTAAACACCCTGTTTACACCCTGTTTACCGTAAACACCCTGTTTACACCCTGTTTACCGTAAACACCCTGTTTACACCCTGTTTACCGTAAACACCCTGTTTACACCCTGTTTACCGTAAACACCCTGTTTGTTTGCTCCGTGGCGCAGTCCATGGCTTCCATTTCAAATTGGAATCGATAGTCTTCTATAAGAATAAAGCGCTCTACCTAGCATTTACCTGTTATAAACCTTGTTCGTGTGTAGTAGTACCCCAGTAATTACCCTGTAATCGGGTAATTTGTATGGGGTAAGGGTAAAAGGTCGGGTACAGGTTGGCTCGTTGCTTTTGACCTTTGACCTCTTACCTTGCCGAGGCCTGCGCCAGCTTCACTTCCTGCGCTCGTGTTGGTCGCCTGCCTGCGACTCGCCCGGGGTTTCAACACCACCAGCAGCAGCACCACCAGCACCAACACCAGCAGGACCACCACCACCAGCAGCACCACCACCAGCAGCACCACCACCATCAGCAGCACCACCAGCAGCAACAGCACCATCACCAGCAGCACCACTACCAGCAGTAGCACCAGCACCACCACCAGCAGCACCACCAGCAGTAGCACCAGCAGCACCACCACCAGCAGCACCACCAGCAGCAGCACCACCACCAGCAGCACCAGCAGCACCACCACCACCAGCAGCACCACCACCAGCAGTAGCACCAGCAGCACCACCAGCACCACCACCAGTAGCACCACCAGCAGCAGCACCACCAGCAGCAGCACCAGCAGCAGCACCACCACCAGCACCACCACCACCAGCAGCAGGAGGAGGAGAGGCAACGCCACAGAAAATGCCGTGCGGATGGAACCCAGCGAGGCGACATCGCGGGATGCACGGGTGGCGCATGTGCCTGTCATCTCGGTCAAGTGATCCCACAATAACACGGGGGTGGGTCTTCATGAGACCGCTTGTCAGCGAGCCTCCCACGCTGCACGTGGCACTCAAAGTGCACCTATCCTGGCACAAATCGTCGTGGTGACATCACCGCCATTTGGTGGCGATTAGCGGCTGTTTTGTGTACTATTCGTATTTTTGAATGTCTGCGTGTGTGCACTTGTGTGTGCATGTGTAGGCACGTGCGATAAACTATTGTGAGTGATTTCCTGCATTAAACGTTGACTTAAAGCTTTTGTGACTGCAGGAATTCATATTCTTTGGGGTCTTTCGTTAAGGTCACGTAGATAGGTTCAAAGAAAATAATAACAAAAAAAACTACGACGTTTCGATCGCAACACTAGCGGTCGTCTTCAGGAATAAACAAACTCCTTAAAAAAATTAAACAACGCTTTTATTAACAACTTCGTTTAACTCACGGCCGAGAAGTCCGTCAATGATGCGGGGACTGCTGCCACATCAACGCTGACGACTTTAATTAATCGATCACTTCCGGAAGTCGACCACACGTTTGGGAGAGGCGATTCCAGAGTTTAGGGACCGCGGCGTTTTTGACCTACACAAATTTATATAAATAATAAGGCGTCCGTACAAAATGTCAATTGCTATAAAGTAGCGAATTAATTGATGAATTGATTTTGATACAGGCATGCGTTGTCACCGGATCTGAGTACGTTTGCAAAATTTTGAATTGATTGGACAACAGGAAATAGACTAACTTTTGATTACAAGATTTGACCACCACACAGGAATCAAGTTAAGTTAATACACTCCTTTAAAAAAGTTTTTTTTTACAATTTTATTTTAAATTGCACTAAAAAGTAAATAACTCGATTGGACAACGGGAAATTGACATTGATGACAAGAGACACGTGGCGCCTGCTTTTTGTGCGAGCCGATTCCACAGTTTAGGGACCGCGGCGTTTTTCATCTGCACAAAAATATATATCATTAATATGCCGTCCATGAAAAAGTTGTAATTGCTTGAAAGGAGGCAATTAATTGATGAATTGATGCCGATTTTGATACAGGCATGCATTGTCACCGGATCTGAGTACGTGTGCAAATGTGGAATTGATTGAACAACAGGAAGTAGACAAACTTTTGATTACAAGATTTGACCACGACACATGAATCAAGTTCAGTAAAACCGTTGAAGAAAAAGGTCGTAGTTTTTTTATTTTCTTTGAACCTATCT